GACTGCAAGTTGAGCAGAGGATGTACATATGAAGCAGTCGGCGTAGTGAACGTGCAGACACTACGGCGCCTGAATGGGGCATTTTCCATATTGCGCTGTCAATGTGCAGAGTCTCCAAATTATGCTGGGAAATGTGCAGACGAAACATCTCACCTTGCCCAGCCTTCATGCATTTTTCCTTGCTTAGCCACATTCACCACCTGACATCTTGGTGGGTATCCTCACTTATGCAGGTTATGCAGATTGATTGGACAATGTACAACGTTCCCGGTTGATGCTGCTCACATGTGCACAAAGGCAAGCATTGATGCAGTGTCTCCACTGAAACCCACGAGCTGCCATCTGTACACTAAAATGGCAGCCACCCTAACTGACTGCATGAACTTTTGAACAACTGAATTTGGAGCGCTTCGCCCAACTGTGCAAACAACCCTCTTGGACTCTCCTATTCCTTTTTTAAAAATATTTTTTATAAAGTGCCTCAGAGACAGGTTTTTTTCCTATGGATGAATTTTAGCTATTATGGATAAGAGTTTGAAGTTGAACCCTTGACAATGGTCCTTTCAAAAGACATTGATGACCAAGGTACAATTTGACACAAAAATCAACAGCATTAATCCGACCTGTTTATCAAGAGCTTTATCGAAAATCCTAGATTCAATATTAAAAGAGGTTAAATATTGGCACTGGCTAAGAACTGGAGACAAAAAAATCACTCTGACAGAGAGAGCTCTGGAATGTAAATCTTAAGGTTGATAGTGGCATCTTAAAAAGGCAAGCAGAGGGGCAACCGGGCAAAAAAGAGAAGGCTAGAAATTAAAAGGGGAAATTATTGGATTCATTCCTGAAGAGGGACTGTCTAAAAAGGAGAGGCGGGATAGAGAGCTTAGGAAGAAATCTTGTTATTTTATGTTGCATTCGTTCTCCTGTTTTTAGGTAGCTCCTATGTTAATATGAATCGCTGGGCTCAGATGACAGAAATATAATAAAAAGGTCATGATCTGAGCTGGAGGGCAGCGATATGCAGCCCTAAAGACCATCTTGCCTAGTGAAACTAGAGACCGTGATGATGAGGCAGAAACAGCAGCAAAAAGCCCGTAAGGTGCCCCGTTCCTGAACGCTAAAGGCCAGCGTTCAAGGAATCAAACGATCCGCGCATTACTGCGACACCGGAGGAAGCCCTAAATCTGCAGCATTTTTAAAGAGCTCCGTGTTTCCTACTTGGACTGTTCATTTCTTCCTATAGTGCATACCTGATCCTTGGGTCAGTGGAAGAACTTCAGGCTCCCTTCAACTTTGCTAAAAGCAGCACACACGAAAACCAGAAGCTGTGCTAATCCCCATGGGGAACGTCACCTTGTGATCTGATATGGGGTGCTGAGACGTCCCTCCACTTGCAGAATTAAGGCAATGGATAAGGGACCCTCCTGCGAACTTGGGGAAAAAATAGCAGCTTCCCAGCCCACCTCGAGGACATAAGCAGAGAGGAAGGCAAAGGCCGGGGGAAGAAGGGGAAGAAGGAGCATGTCAGAACTGACGTCCGCCCTGCCTAAAGCTGTCCGTTTCCCTTTGCAGCACACGCAAGAAGGAGGTGCACGTTTTCCTCTTGCTCCACCTTTGAGCTTCAGAAAGGGGAGTTTCAGAGTCGGGCTTCCATGAATTCATGCCTGTGGCTTCTGTTCTGCTAATATACGAACGCTGCATGTGATTGTTGATTCCTGCAATCCGCAGCCGTTTCCACTAATCCCGCACATTTCTTTAAATAACTGAACGTGCAACTTTTCCGGGGGGGGGGTAGCATGTGTTAAAAACAAAATGAAATAAGATATGGCACAAATGATTAAAGCCAGAAGGAGGAATGCACGTCACATGTGGCAAATGGGATGAATTACTGATTTGTCTTTATTTACAACACCCAGGAATGGGTAGGGGGTTAAAAATAGAAAAAACCGGGGGGGGGGGTGACCTCAGAGATAACACTCCATGAGCTGGTCTCACCCTGTAGCACTTTTCAGCATGGAGGAGTGGAGAAAAAAATAGCAGGTTAGGCTGTCAAAATGCCTAATTTTGTTCACACAGCTTAGCTGTAAGGGGCATGCTCTCTCAGTAGATATTCTATGTCCAAAACACCCTTAAAGAAAAACGGAGAGAGAGGCTTATTTCGTAAGAGATTCATTAACTGAGAAATGTCCATTAGTGTTAAGAGAAGGCTGCCGGTTACCCATCTTCTACCCCCACCCCCGTTAAATGCCACAACACAGAATCTGACAGACGGTGCTGGAAATTCATTAGCTAAATATATAGGTAGCACCCTCAATTTTAACAGGCTACTTGGAAAAAAATGATAAAAGTTGGAATGTGCTTTTGTGTATGAGCAAGCAATGAAGCTCTGGGAAACTGGTTTTCACAGCTAAAAAAAATAAATCAATAATGAAATACTAATCCCTTCCACAATGGCATGAATTTCTTTTCCTTTAAAAATTATTACCTTGTAACCGTGCAGAGAAAGAGCCCAGAAATGTCCTGCTTACACTTCGGTCAGTCTGCTTGGAAGGATGCTTTTTAGACATGATTTGGACATTGGGACAGGGGAACTATCGTGTTAAGTTTTTTCTAAGGGGTGGGGGGAGTTAAGGAGACAATCATTCGTCAATCAAATAATTTAAAAGCAATATCCCGATGTGTAAACATGCCCATGTTAGAAAGGGAAGACAGGTCCTTGGGTCCACCCGGAAGGAAAGGCTGCAACCGCTGGGCCCCTCAAATGAAAAAGATCTCCTCCAGAATGCGGCTCTCCTCTAGCTCAGCCATGGTCCCATTCATGGCACAAGTTGGGCTCTGGTTCCATCCAGGCTTCCTCCACCTCCTGCTCTGAGGCACAAGCACTTGGCTCTGGTTGTGGCTTTCGCTGTAGTGATGCTGAAGCCCTGGGCTCATTGCTTCCACCAGGTCAAAGAGAGAGGACTCGTACCTGGAAGGAGAGAGAGGACAGGAGAGACTCTATTAAACACACAGTGTTCTAGCGGTCTTAGTAGACCAGAAGTTTAGCGTGAGTCAAAAGTGTGATACATTGGCAAGAAACAGCTAATGCAATTCCAGGCTGCATCAACAGAAGTCTAGTGTCCAGATCAAGGGAAGTAATAGTCCCACTCCATTTGGCCTTGGTCAGACCACACCTAAAATACAGTTCTGGATGCCACAATAAAGGAAGAACATTGACAAGCTGTAATATGTGCAGAGGAGGGTGACCAAGAGGATCAAGGGTCTGGAAACCAAGGAATGGCTGAGGGAGGTGGGGATGCTTAGCATGGAGAACAGAAGACTGAGATGAGAGCCATCTTCAAATATCTAAAAGGCTGTCAGGTGGAAGATGCAGAAAGCTTGTTTTCTCCTTCTCCAGAGACTAGGGCCTGAACCAATGGATTCAAGTCACAAGAAAGGAGATTCCCACTAAGCATTAGGAAGGAATTTCTGATGAAATGTTTGACCCTCGGAAGGTGGTGAAATCTCCCACCTTGGAGGCTTTTAAACAGAGCTTAGGAGGCCAGGGTTTTTTTTTGCTGCGATTCCTGCATTACATGGAGTTGCAAGAGATGATCCTTGGGATCTCGTTCGCCTCTACAATGATTCTATGATTCTAAGAACAAGCACAGAGGTGGACAGAAGTTTGTCAGTGGTCTCAGATATCACTGCCCAATGGAAAGCTGTTACCCTGATGCTTAACACTTTCAGGCTGCAGAGAAGTGCACAGATCCACTGAAACTGGCAACAGAAATGGGCAGTAGGAGGCCAGGGAGAGGCACAGCAATTCACCTTTGCATGCAAAACCCCAGAAATGACTTCTACTCCAGCCTTTGCCCACCTGCTGCAACTTCCACCAGTGGCAGTCACAGAATACGGCAAAGGCTGCATCATCTCCTCATGCAATTCCGTCAAGCACAAATAGTAGTCTGGATGTATCCTTTCAACCGAGGATTAGTTTGCGGGGGAAGAGAGAAGAGAAAAAGTCACGCGCAGGCCAAGCTAACACGCCATGCCTGTGTTTCAGCTGCAAGCCAACTTGGAGTTAATTTCTGCTGTAAGTTTATCTAAGTTTTACAGCATTTCAGCTATCGGGAAAATTAAATGATTTGGCAGATTACAAGAGCAGCAAATGCAGCAAAGATTATTTAAAAGACCAGGCATTGGAAATCAGTCTATTTGACATCAGGGCTCTATATGCAAGAAAGCAAACTCGCTCCGCTCAAACGACCTTATCTGATGGAGAGACCTCTCCTTTCGGCTATTTAGCGGTTAATCCCCCGATAATACAGTTTGTCCTGGCCTGTTGAGGTGCCATCAGACAGCATCTGGCTGCAGGCGATGGAGCTCAGGAGCTCACCGAGCCAATTTCCTCCATGCTTATTTCTAAGGAAATATTTTTAAAGGGAAACTGCCAACATGCTCTGGATCTCCCTCAGAATGAAACTTGACCATATATTGAATACAGCAGCTGCTACTGCAGTTAGCACTGAGGTTTTGAAAGGGACCAAGTTGTGAATTTTCTAGCACAAGCCTCTGATTTAGAACAGGATACCTGCTCCTAAATGTGGGTTAAACCACAGAGCCTAGGACTTGCCGATCAGAAGGTTGGCGGTTCGAATCCCCGTGACAGGGTGAGCTCCCGTTGCTGAGTCCCAGCTCCTGCCAACCTAGCAGTTCGAAAGCACGAAGTGCAAGTAGATAAACAGGTACTACTCCGGTGGGGAAGTAAACAGCGTTTCCGTGCGCTGCTCTGGTTCGCCAGAAGCGGCTTAGTCATGCTGGCCACATGACCCGGAAGCTGTACGTTGGCTCCCTCAGCCAATAAAGCAAGATGAGCGCCGCAACCCCAGAGTTGGTCACCCGCGTCCCTCAACTTTGGGGTAAAATCATATAAAAGTTCAACTACTTGGTTGGCCCTTTGGTTGGCCCCCATGGCCCTTCACTTCATCAAATCTTGCCCTCTTTCAAAAAAAGTTTGGACACTACTAGGGATTGAACCTGCAACCTTTGTGTTAACAGCACCACGCTCTAACCAACAGAGCTATATCTCCTCCCATGGAACTGCTGCTCCACTGGGAAGATGGTGTTGGTCCATGGAGCAAGTTCTACCCAGCTGGCCACGCCCCCCATGTGTGTGAGCCAATTAGATCCTTCCCCCTGCCCTCTTTTGGAAACTGCATTGGCTGGGAGAAATTTTAAAGGACACCAGCCCCTCATACTAAGTTCTGCTACATGTGCAGCAGGCTGGCTGAGGAGATGATGGGAGAGGAAGAGCAGAAGAGGTTTTTAAATACTGGTAAGTGTGTAGGGGATGGGTGGGAAGAAGTCTGCACAGAAACGCTTCAAGCATTTTTCGACAGCTAACCAGTGGAAAACTGCACAAACTTGCTATTATGAAAGTGCAACCAGACACATCGTTTGTACATTTATCTGAAACAGCTTCAACTCACAATGAATATATTGATATTTGGGGAATATGACGCTGTATTTTGGATGCATTTCCGTCACTAAGTGTCAGCATAATGTGATGCTTCATGAACACAGTACAATAGTTTTTTATATTTTAAAAAAAACCCAACCCTTATATTTAGCTGCATTATATTTTCGTCTTGCACCACCTGGCTTAAATAATAAAATGATTTTGCTCCAGTATGCAGAAAACGGCACAATTTCAAGCCAATCTGATATTTGGTAGAGTCAGTAAGAATTCTATCACTAGGCAAAAGTAATGAGATTTATTGGCATCATAAATGCTCCGGCAGTAAGATATATGTATATTTCCTTAAACAAGCAGTGTCAGATATTATTTGATCATCATGTTCAGCGATATCTTTTCATTTACAGTCTCTGAAAATTTATTCTTCAACCATAAATGTCTAGAAAACACACAGCTCTGGTTCTTTGAAAAGGTGATGGCATTTCAACAAAACGTTCGCGCAATATGGCATCGGAGATTAGTAACTGTAGAGGTTTGCTTTTATTTAAGCGCATGTTCCCAATGAAATAAAAAGGTTTATGTCAGAAATTTGAGTGGAAACATAAAAATAAACCTCCAAGTGATTTATTAGTGGTACACGAATTGCCTTTGGATTCAAGCAGGCTTTCCGACTGATATAATGCTGCTTTGTACTTCTAACACACCTTCAGCTCCCAAGTACTTTACAAACATTAATTACAGATAATAAAACGCTTATGATAGTGTGTGCCGGTTTTACAGAGCAGGAAGCCAAAGCTTTGGTTGCTTAAATCACATGTTTCAGTCAACGGGGATGATTCAAAGCCACAGACGTCCCAGTGTGGAAAGTCTGGGAGAGGAAAGAACATGACGTGCTCAAAATATGTTTTCTACCTCTTCCACCAAATGAAAATCAGGGCAGGGCTGTGGAAAGAAGGCACCTATCTTGCCACCATCCTCTTTCTGAGATATTTCATAACTGATGTCTTGCTTCATGAAGAAGAGTACAAGTTTTCCCAACATCAGGACCCAATTGTGACTTTGGAAAGAGAAATGGAAGGATTAAAGAAGTGAGTTTATAAATAAAAAGACACATATGTGAGTATAGTTATCAGAGGCTGGTACACAGACTATTTTATGGCCCATGAAGCCACCAATATCTCAATTGCCACTATGATTGTGTTGGCATTCTGGAAGCCAAGATTCAAGTCTACTCTATGGAATTAACCCCTTCATGCATTAATGAGGCTCAAGGATGCTGCTTATATGAGGCTGGTCATCCCTTCAGCATGTTTCAACCTGCCTTCTTCTTCACACCAGTGGCTGTGATTCAACCCTTGAGAGCTCTTGTGCTGTGTGTCAAGAAGGGGGCATCAAGGTTTAGCTGGAAAGCAGCGAGTGGTGTCATCGATATTCAGAGCCAGCTCTTGCATTTAATAAATAAACAGGTAAAAAAAAAAAGCCAACTGAACTAGTCACTCATTACTTGCTAAATTCTAGCTCCTCACTAAGGTGGTGATTCTGCACCTGGGCTGTGCCAGAGGATCATGTGACTGAATGCTCTCTCTCACACACACATTTCTCCCTGCACACTGAAAATTAGCATCAAAGGGTCCTAACCCAGCCTTCTTTGTGACATGATAATTTTCTATGAGAAAGGATTAAAAGAAAATGTATGGGAAAGCATACTGCTTTACCTCCCTTCATCAGAACTGGGCCCCAGCCTCATAGATACTCACATTTTAACCTTGCTCCTCCCCCCGATTTTTTTAAAGTCATAAAATACATCAGCAGAAGTCTAGTGTCCAGATCAAGAGAAGTCATAGTACCACTCTATTCTGCCTTGGTCAGACCACACCTGGAGTCCTGTGTCCAATTGGGCACCACAATACAAGAAGGGCATTGGCAAGCTGGAATGTGTGCAGAGGAGGGCGACCAAGACGATCAACGGTCTGGAAAGCAACCCTTATGATGAACGGTTGAAGGAGCTGGGTATGTTTAGCGTGGAAAAGAGGAGACTGAGAGGAGATATGATAACCCTCTTCAAATATCTCAAGGGCTGTCACAGGGGAGAGGGAGCATGTGTGTTTTCTCCTGCTCTGGAGGGTAGGACTCAAACCAATGGCTTCAAGTTACAAGAAAGGAGATTCCGACTAAACATTCGGAAAAACTTTCTGACAGTAAGCGCAGTTCGGCAGTGGAACAGACTCCCATGAGAGGTGGTGGACTCCAACTGAGGTTGGATGGCCATCTGTCATGGATACTTTAGCTGGGATTCCTGCGTGGCAGGGAGTTGGACTAGATGACCATTGGGACACCTTCCAACTCTAAGGTTTTATGAGTCTATTCTATGATAAAATACATGGACAATGACTTGCAGGACTCAACCATGTTTCCCTTCAATGTAAGGCCAGAAGTGAGCCCAGAGAGAGATTCAAAGGCATCAGCTGCAGCACCACCAGGATCTAAACAGCAGCAATCTCTACTTTCCCTTAAAAGTTCCAAAGGGAATTCTTCTATCTGTAGAGGCGCCGTGCAAAATATATGAGGAATCACCAGCTTTATGGTGTTGTGTACATATTCTAAATATTTGGCAGTGGCAGGGAGAACACAAGAGATGGGGGAAAACAGGCAGTGGAAACAAGAGATGGATATAAGTGTTGGGGGAACCCAAATCCAAGTGCTTTCCTTCACACAACCAAGATCAATCCTTACGACTCAGTTAAGCACACAGTGCACTATCCCTCCCTTTCGCTCCCAGCATTAACACCCCTCGACACCTGAAGGCTGTTACTGCGCCTCTCCCAATCACTGTTTCGCAGGCTAGACGTATTTTATCGCTCCCCATACATCAACACTTCCTAGCCTGGCGATATCTCCTCTGAGCGGGTGCCTATTTATCATCGCTCCCTTTGGGATTTCAGTGCCCAGAGATGAGGACCAAACTCCCCGCGTGCCCTAGAACAGTCTCGGGAATGCACAACTCTGTTCTCTCTCTCTCTCTCTCTCTCTCTCTCACACTCACTTTTCTGAGGCCAAACAGCATCAGATTCTTTTGTGGTTGTACAGCATCACAAACTGATGACCAATTTTAATCTATGGCACCACTGAAGCATAATACATCACAGCCCACTGTAAAACCTGACGTGCAGCTCTCACAGGCTTGCCGCCCGTGGGGTCACTGGCAATAAAACCGAGGCTTGTAACAATGCCATCGGAGACAACTGTCTTTCGCAGGCACCGGAGAGGGAAGAGCCAATTTTGATATTAGTGTTGCAGTCTTGTGAACCCGAAAAGGCAGCGTTTGGTGTGGTTACGGGGCAAATGCTTCAACGTGAGAGGCCTTGGCTGAAAAGAGGCTCAGCTCTGCTGGAGCGTTTGGACTAAGGCAGAGAAAGTGATCTGTGCAATAAAGGGATAGTGCAGAAGTTTGCAAAAGAATGAGTGTGCAACACATACTTGGCTGCTCAGTATTAATAAAGGCCATCACCTGCAGCAGCAGCAGCTTCCAACACTTAAAGAAGTTAGCACAAAATCAGATTAAAATGGAAGCACAGGTGATTGGCTCCATCGCTTTGCTGAGCTCAGTCTTGGCTGCTGAAAGGCAGCCCATCCACACCAACACACACAGGCGGTACAACGAGGCAATGATTGGATGTGCCAATGAATGATCTCTTCCATAGCGCCAGGGAACGACCTGATAACAGGTCCCTCAATGAAGCTGTTTGATAAGAGGTTCAGGGCTGACAAAAAAGAGCAGTACTTCTCCAATTCTCTCCAACTCGGGCTGGAATGAAAGGGGGAAGGCGTGTATACTCTTCAGCCGCTCACCAAAGTGGTACTTTGAAAGAAGAAGCCCAGATGCAAGCTGACAGAACTAAATGAATCAAGACAACAAACTCTTGCTTTGTAAATCTTCCAGCACCGCAGCGATGTTTTCTTTCTGCTTATTAGCATGCACTTTGGAGAGCTCTGGGCACCTCTGGATGGGCATTCAATCCCGTTTACACGGCTGCATTACGGAAACATGCATTTGGCATCAATAATTCAGAAACACTTTGTTTGAAAGTTTAGATTTGGGGAAACACACATGAAGCGCACGCTTTTAAAAACAGATTATGTATCCTAATAATAACCAAGTCACTCTATTTTTAGCGTAATTTGAACAAAAGCATGTGATTAGGTAGATGAAGCTTACACACAGGGAGATATCTAAAACACGATGAGGTTTAGAAGTCTCCATGATTGGTTAAACAACTTCAGGATAGGAGGGAAGGCATGGGATCTAGAAGACCTTCACACAATTACCTATCTCAGAAATCCCTGCCTAGCATATCCAGTAGATCCATATTTGATCCCAATGTATCCATCCATGCCTCATATTTCCAGGATCCTTCCATTTGTTTTAGGTGAAAAGGTTGCAGAAATTGGATGTGTGTCCTTATGTCCCAAACGCTCTCTCTCCTACTGTGCAGAGTATTCTTCCAGGAAGACAATGATGTTAACTGTTCGCAAATCCCCCCGGGTCTGCGTCTCTTTGCCTCTATATACTTTTGGCTCCTGAATGTGCTGGGCTTTCTCTTGCCCTGGTTCAGT